CCGATATGACCATTCTAGGTGTTCTGAAATGCTGAAAGGCACACATGAAATTCTTGTTTGGAGACGGTGGATTTCTAGACAAATCAGAGGGTACTGTTAGTGGTACTGGGTTGATGTCAAGGACGCCGTGGTGTGTTGCGGTTTGCGGGCAGGCTTTGGAACCAACCTGTCAAAGCCTACTACTTGTGTGACTCGGGCGAGGGACTGACCTCTCTTAAAGCCATGGAGTTGGGATGTGCAAGGGAGGTGTAACTTTTATATTTAAAGTTAACCACAAAGTTGACTATTCTTTTCTCCTTGCTTTAAAAATCTGTGGCCGTTTCTAATGATTAAAATCTACCGCAACCACAAAAAACTAGTCATGTCTTATAATAGGTGTGTACCCCAGGTATATCTTATACTTATGGAAGGTCTGATTGCCAGCTTTGAATGCTATGCCATTCAAAATTTAGTTGGTTTTTTAGTGATCTAGAATGTGAGGAAATGAGTCAGGCATAGATTCTCAACATAGGTGGTATGTTCCTGGACTTATGGCCGGCAGTCTCTTGTCTTGGTGATTTTGGGGTGATGATTACAGAAACATCTGTCACTTGTTTCTGTAAATGTTTTATGATGCAAATTGAATGTGATGAAATATTTAAAATATCATTCATTAAATATTTAAAAGTTGAGTCTTTGGAACTGGCGAAATCTCTTCATTCTACTGTCAGCTTAAAGGAGCAATTTAGAAATTTTGAATTATAAAATCAAAATACTGGAGAAAAAAATAAAGGAGCTGGGAATATAGCTAGAAAATTATTTTTCCCCTTGAGCCATTAGCCATCAGGGTAGCAGAAATACTCATTTTATGTTACTACCCATTACAAGTCTTCTGCAGTTTGCTCTGCCTCATACACATTCCTGGTGGGTTAAGTAAAGGACTAAATTAATTTAGTTTAAGTCTCAGGAGTATTATGGACTCAAATATTGGCGTGATCTTTAGTTTTATTATTTATTATGCTTGTAATTTTTAAAATAAAACTTTAAAGTATGAAAACGAATTGGAATCACATATTACTGTTAATGGCAGATTGAACTAATAGTTTTGTTTTAAAATGAGAGATTGCTGATACACGTGGGATCTTCACAGTAATTTCTGCAAAATAGCCTGTTTAACCATTGCACATCTGTCACTCCAGGCTGTGTTCCAGCCCATGTCAGAGTGTGGTATATTTAAAAAGATCTGGAGAAGATGCTGAGTTCTAGCATTAGGTAGATGTTCAACCTAATTGCAAAGTGGGGTTATTCTCAGTGCTCCATGGAACCTTCTCAGACCAAAGGCTGGAGCGTGCTGCTTGTGAGGCTCCCGCATGCAGCTCCGGCACTGTCGCCGGGAGCGTTGCTGGAGGTGAAGGGTGGCTGTGCCGTGACCATCGGGATTTTTTTCTGCCCTTTTGTCCAGGAGAAGCTTGTGGGAAGGGAGAAGTCGTGTTTGAAGGCACTTTACATTTACGGTCTGTACGATCTGGGTTTCATTTCATGTCAGGTCCCTCCGTGATCTAACTAACCATAGCTTAATGTGGTCGGGAGTGGTCTCTGATTCCTCACCTCTGGATTTTCTAGCTTCCTTGCTCAGAACACCCACCTGCCGGAAACAAACAAAAAAATAAAAAACACTTCCCAGTGTCTGAAACCCCAAATCATACCTGTTTTTCAGTTCCTAACTCCAAGTCTATCTTCTGTATGAAAGAATTTACAAACCAGGGCAACTGATTTTATTTGTATTACGTGAATACTTATATGCTCATTCACTTACCAAATAGTTACTGAATAATTATGTGCTGAGTACAGTTCTAGGTATTGGGAATTAGCAGAGAACAAAAAGGCCACCCGTCACGGAGTCTGGGTTTGCGCGGGTGTGTTGGGGAAGAGAAATAACAATGCCACCAGCCCTTGACATTTACTGAGTGCTAGATGCTGTTCTGAGCATTTTACACCTAATAACTGTTTCATCCCCCAGCAGCCTGTGGGGTGGGTGCTTTGATTGTCCTCGTTTTACGGATGAGGACACTGAGTCTCCAGGGTCAGAGCCCAGGCAGGACTTGTCTGGGCAGTTGGGCTCCAGGGTCCAGTGCTGTCTCCCGCTGCCCTCTCTGTGTTGACAGAGGGAGGGTGGGTGGCACTGAGCAGCAGAAAGAAGGTGGAGATGAGTAGGGAGAGAGCGACTCAAAAGGTCCAGTCCCTCGAGACCCTGCCGGGGCTCAGGAGGGCAGCACTATTTAAGTAACATCAAGGCATTATTTGCCTTTTTCTCATCCTCTCGCAGGTGTACAGTGGAGTTTTCTAGAGGCCGCATGATGGATAACCATGCAATGTAGGCCACAGTGGGTAGAGTTGAGAACCCAGTGGCATTTTCTTAAGCCAGACAGCAAATGATTTGCAAAAATGTAAAACGTTGCCACTCTTCTTAGTAAACATAGTTGTTTTCATAAAAATATTATTTATGTTAATGTATAAATTTTTTTTAATGATTTAACAAATTTTAAAATTTCTCTTGGTTTTAATTTACAACACAGTAAATACTGACAAATAGACCCACATAAACAAAAGCCATTTGGGGCCTTTGATGACATTTTGGTGTAAACAGGTTCTGAGACCGCAAAGTTTAAGAACCACTGTTGTAGAAGATTCCATCTGGCTGCCGTGGGTAGAGCAGGTGCAGGAATGTGGGGGTTGGTTACTGGGCTTTTGTGATAGTCCAGGTGAGCAGTAGAGTTGATAAGAAATGCTGCATCTGGGTTTATTTGTGTGTATGTATATATTTTTTTCGTTGTGGTAAAATACACAACATAGAATTTCCCGTCTTTCAGCGTGCTATTCAGTGGCATTAAGGACATTCACACTGTTGTGCAGCCAGTGCCCAGAACTCTTTTCATCTTGTAAAACCGAAGCTCTGTACACATTAAATGATACCTCCCCATGGATCTGGATTCATTTTGAAAGTGAAAGCAAAAGGATTTGCTATTGGTTTGGATGTGGTATGTGTAAACGTTCTGCAAATGTGTCACTAATTAGAGGGAAGGTGGCTTTGTTCTGGTCTTTTTTATTTTTTATTTTATTTTATTTTTTTTTGTCTTTTGTCTTTTTTCCGTGTCCGGCAACGGATCGCAACCCTCAGTGTTGCCCCTGTACCGGACCGGGGACCGGCAACGGGATCGCAACCCTCGGTGTTGCTCCCGTGCCTCGCTCAGCCAGTGAGCGGGAACCGGTCTGTATGTGGGATCCGAACCCTCGGGCGGGAGCGCCGCCGCGCTTCCCAAGCGGCGCACTATCCAGTGCGCCACCGGGCCGGCCCATTCTGGTCTTTTTTACTTCCAAACGTCCTTCATAGCACACTGCCCCTGGGGCTTCCGAGGGCACCTCATAACAGCAAAGAAGTAGTGTCACAGCTGGGTACCACTGTTATGAAGATACTTCTGCATTGACTTACACTAACAGGAAAGAGCCTGAGTAGTGCATTCAGCAAACAGGCACCGTCTACTTGCAAATAAAATTTTCATGCCATTCCTTTTCATAACAGCTTAATTGAGGAGTTTCCTGGTTAATACATATCCTGAGGTTGTAATGTGAGCTGTTAAATCTCTTAAGGTGCATGTAAAAAGAAAATGAGATGGTTTGAGCTGTGTGACAGAACACAGCTGCTGAGGGAGGGACAGTGTGGCCAGAACCCAGGGAAAGTGTGGCGTAGACCCCTGGGAGCCAAGCCCCAGGCAAAACAAAATGGATAGGAGCAAAACACTTGTTTTATCAGGTAAGTGAAGCAAGCAGTGGCCAGGACAGCAGTTCTTACCTTAAAAACAAAAGTAGCCAAGGTCAAGGGTTCAGGTCACCATACCAGTCACTGCCCCCCTCCCCCAAGTAGCAGTAATTGTGCCTCTTGGAGAAGGAAAAAATACCACTTCTCCAACGATCCCTGCCACCCCTGTGAGGAGGGTGGGGGTGTCACTGGTTTACAAACAGGGAAGTTCAGATGAAGAGATCAATTAATGTGCTCAAGGTCACAGCTCATAATAGATGGAAGGTGGAATTTGACCCCAGCTTCCCACTGTTAGAACCTCTGACTCCAACTTGGGCTATTCAGTCTTTTTTTTAAAATTTTGCATTTAGTTTTATTTTGGTACTTTATGTTCATAATTTTATATTTATAAATATTGTCTGTTTTGCATCTCTTTTACATTTTGATTTGTAATGCTAATTAAAAATAAGGAATATCTGGGCCGGCCCGGTGGCGCACTGGAGAGTGTGCCGCTTGGGAGCGTGGCGGCGCTCCCGCCGAGGGTTCGGATCCCATGTGGAGACCGGTTCCCGCTTACTGGCTGAGCGCGGTGCGGGCGCAGCACCGAGGGTTGCGATCCCGTTGCCGGTCAGTAAAAAAGAGACAAAAAGGAAAAAAAAAAAAGGAATATCTATTGTCTTTAAAAAATGAAAACATTTTTTTTTTTTTTTTGTCTTTTGTCTTTTTCCGTGTCCAGCAACGGGATCGCAACCCTCGGCGTTGCCCCCACGCCTCGCCCAGCCAATGAGCGGGAACCAGTCTGTATGTGGGATCCGAACCCTCGGGCGGGAGCGCTGCCGCGCTTCCCAAGCGGTGCACTATCCAGTGCGCCACCAGGCCGGCCCGAAAACATTTTTCTTTGTAACTTTTCTATGATAGGCTAAAAACAGATAAATGTTTGAGTTTGTCAGTAGCCATAAGCCCTTTTTCTCCCTGTTGATTTCTAGAGCAATTTATTTCTTATTTCTGGTTGCTTCGTGGACTCATTATTTACTCTAGAATTTAGAATTTCATCCAGTTTGGGTCTTGATGCCATGCTTTGCAACAAAGGTACAAGTGGTGCCTTCTCACCTAATGAGAATTGCATTATTTTAATAATAGATGTATATCCTCTGAAGCAGTGGAGTTTAAAATAATTCTAACCTCATCTGTTTTCTTTCTTCTCTTTCTTTTTTTTAAAATATAGTTAACAAGCACAAGCCATGGCTCGAGCCCACCTATCACGGGATAGTTACAGAGAACGACAACACGGTGCTCCTTGACCCCCCCCTCATTGCCCTGGATAAAGACGCACCTCTGCGTTTTGCAGGTATGGACGTGGACTTTATTTATTCTTGATAAATTTGGACTGGATGGGAAGCATCCCACACTTCCCATTTGGATTAGTCTGAGCCTTTCTGAAAATGTCTTGATAGCTGAGCATTGTTGTTGGCGCGTATACTCCACATTTTTCCTTTAACAGTTGGGGTGGCTGACCAAAAAAAGCCTGTTCTTATCATTAAAAAGCAAAATATTTAATTTAACTGCATCATTATATTCTTCGTCTTGATGTAGCCAGATACCATCTAGACCAGCGCATCTCAGACTTTAGTGCACACACAGTACCTGAGGATTGAGTTAAAATGCAGACGTGGATACAGTGGGTCTGGGGGGGCCTGGGATTCTGCCCTTCTCACCTGCTCCTGGAGCTGCTGGTCCTTGAGTGGCAAGGATACGGGGAGTCACAGCTCAGAGTTTGCTCACACTACCTAGATTTCAGTTACCTGAGAAGACTTACTTAGAAAAGTTGAGCAGTCTTTATAGAGGAATATTTTTGATGTAGAATTTACTTTTAATGAATTTTTAGCTTGAGTTACTTCATAAGATTGTAACCTATGTCTTTGTAGAGACACATTTCTAGGATTGCTTTGGAGATATTTGTAACATGGTCACCTTCTGCGTCGCTAACATTTAATAGCACTTTCCAAATCCTAAGTGTCCTTGCTCCACATCAGGCCACGGTAACTTCCTGAGTTGGCAGAGCAATGTGCTGCTGAGCTCTTTCCTTGCCTCACAGTCGGAATTGACATTGTAAAGGGAAGTTTTAAAGAGTAGTTTTTGCATGATATTTTTCCAGATCAAAACTTCTCATATTAGAGTGTTCTGTTTGCCCAGGGACAAATAAGACAGATGGGATGAGCTCATATAAAACATGTCACACATTGGGCCGGCCCGGTGACGCACTGCTACAGTGCGCCGCTAGGGAGCGCGGTGGCACTCCCGCCGAGGGTTCGGATCCCACATACAGACCGGTTCCCCCTCACTGGCTGAGCGAGGTGCGGGCGCAACACCGAGGGTTGCGATCCCATTGCTGGTCCCGGTCCGGTACGGGCGCGACACTGAGGGTTGCGATCCGTTGCCGGACACGAAAAAAGACAAAAAGGAAAAAAAAAAAAACATGTCACACATTAATCTCACTACAGAAAACTGAGGGAAATGAATGTGGGGTTGCTTCTAAAGAACTGTCTAAAAAATAAATGTGTACTTCATTCTGTCCAGGTGCCACCTCACATTGTCACGTAAGTAATCTGAGAACCAGCACAGTGTGCTGTGTGAGTCAGTGCTGGAGACAGAGCTTCCTAGTCAACTTTACTTGTTTATTGATTTTTGGAGAGAAATCCGATCAGATGGACGGTAGAGGAAGCACTCTGTGCTGTGAATACACAGAATATTCTCCAGTTACTGAGATGATTTTTTCGTTTTTTTCTCCCCAGATTTTTATTTATTTATTTATTTATTTTTGCAGCTGGCTGGTACAGAGATCTGAACCCCCGACCTTGGGGTTATAAGACTGCACGCTAACCAGCTGAGCTAACCAGCCAGCCTCTCCTCAGACTTTAAATCCCTTTTGTCATTGCATATGGGTCTTCCCTGTAACTAACTAGGTGTTGAGTGTTAGTGTAGGTACATGTGTCCATGCACTCCCCTGTGTGCCTCCTCACGAGTGTGACATTTAGTGCTATATGGATCATTTTAAAGGGTGTACCTAGCTTATGTTTTTGAGTGGATTTATATTCATTTCTGACATTTTATGAAGTGATTGCAGACAAGAGTTCTGCATTTATTCTCTCAGGCTTTTCTTTACTAAGTATCATCTGTATACAGTTCAGTGGTTTGTAGAGGATGGTCCTGCTACATTGTTAATAATACATATACTTATAAAGCATTTATAACAGTGTTCCCGGCACTATTCTAAATGCTTTACAAATACAGATTTGGTTTTTAATCCTCAACAATGAGGTAAGTACGCTTTTGCCATTCTCGTTTTAAAGAGAGGAAGCTGAGGCACAGAGCAGTTAAATGATTTGCTCTGGGTCATGCAGCTCGTGCGTTGCAGAGGCAGGAGTCCAGCCCAGGCAGGGCAGCTCTTTGCCATGGTGCCACCCTGCATTTGTAACAGTGGGAAGCTGCAGAGGAAGTAGGAGATAGAATGTGCATAAAGTACTGATTCGAAGGAAAAAGTCATGTCAATAAAATATCACTTATTTTTTCTTTCTCATGGATTTAATTTTATTGTTTTGTTTGCCAAACTTAATGTACTGTAAATGAAGTAATAACTTATAATATTTTATGTTTTTAGGGATTCTCAGGTGTTTTTTAATTAATGTACAAAAATTACATACTGGGGTTTAAGAAAATGACATAGAGAAGCATTTTAGCAATTTTGGGGTGGTAAGACAGAAACCAGATCTGGAGCCTTATTTTGACCTAGTTTTGGTAATGACATTGAGTTTAATTCAGCACCATAGTGATGGTGAGGTGGCGTGGTAGCATGTAACATTTATCGAGAGCTCACAGCGTGGCAGAGGTTGTTCTAAGGCTGCACATGGGTTACATGATCTGAGCCTTTTCAACAGTCCCATGCAGTAGGCACCCTCAAACCATCCCCGTTTTCTGGATGAGAGAACAGGCTCAGAGCATGTCTGTCAGCTGCGTGACAGCAGGAGACAGCTGACTTGGCCTTCATTTTGTCCCCAGTACCTAGACCAGCACCTGGGATGTGCTGTTGCTCTGTGAATATTTGTAGAAGGCGTGAATGAGTTTGCCCAAGACCACAGGGCTCAGAAATGATGGTGCTGCCTTTGGGCCAAGCAGTCTGACTCCAGCCAGGAATCTTAGGTTCATCGCATTGGCTCTCATGACATTGTCTTTGAACATTGCGAACATTCTGGCTCACAGTCTCATCCCATTACAAGACGTGAGTGTGGGAACCGCTGGAGTTTTCTTGTCAAAGCTTTGAAACAAACACGTGTGTAACGTTGGAAGCTTAGTCACTGGAGCTCCTTGTAGGTTGTCACTAATCAGACATTCACGTTGAACATACAGAGTCTAGCCCAGATTGTGTTCTTGGGGTGAAACTAAGGGAACAAGGTCTTGGTATCTGTCATGTATTTTAGGAAATTTAAATGACTCAACATCTTATTCTTCCCCTTTTCCTTAATCTGCTAAAAGCCTGAGTAGGTGTGGGTAAGAAAATGTATTTTACATTTTTGTGTATTTAATGGAGAGTTAAAAGCCTGAGCCATGTATGTGGGCACACGGTTGCTGCTCTGAAAATGGTATGTTCTATGTGGGAAGGCTGAGCGTCCCCCTTGCCCCTTCCTCTTTTTAAGCTCTTCCCTTTAGTAGGTGGTTCTATTCCAGCATTTTCTCCTGCCTTCCCAGGTTGGGCACAGATACCTTATAAGATTGGGTGAACAATCAGGATATGAATAGAATCCAAAAGAAATTTCAGGGCAAGAATGGGGACTTTATTTTCATTGATATTTGATTAGAATATACTCAGAACGTCTATGACACTTTTCTCCACATTCTTGGTAATTTATGTGATTGCTGTGCCCTGAGGATGCTGATGGAGTTACGTACTGTACATCACTGCCCAGTTTTGCTTTTTCAGCATATGCAACTGAGCTGACATTGTGTTTGCAGCAATGAATGGAATATGTTAGGTTGACCCATGTGAAATGCCATTTTTGTATGTTGAAAATGTGAAAACATTTGGGAAAAAATCTGAAATTTCACACGGTTCAACTTACTAGAAGGCAGTGATCTTTTGAGCAGCAGTTTTCAGTACGTGTCTGGATGCCAGGACAGTTGCTTCAGGCTGATAGTTACTAACTAGGATGAACTCATTTTGGATGCACTTGTCTCCCAGGAAAGGTTTGGGATCAGTAATGATTACATACTAGGTTACTATGATGCTAGGTCTTCTAGAGGATATAAAAAGAATAAAACTTGGTCCCTGTTCTCAAAGCCACTGATAATGTAGGTGACAAAGAGCTAACCAGGGATACTAGGAAGTTTATAATTCAGTGCCAGGTGAGAGGCACAGGTAATGTGGAGTAAGAGGGCAGGGAAGTGATTTGTAAGGCAGGGCTTGAACTCCTATGAAGGGTGGGTAGATTTTTCCCAGGCAGTGAAGGTGAGTGAAAGCTGGGAGCAGAACTGGGAGCTGGGGGGCTTCCCTGGGGGTGAGTGACTAGGTTAGCTTGTGTGGCATGGGGCATGGAGGAGCAAAGGATTGGAAATCAACCTGAGTCCATAGCGCTGCCGTTGCCAAGTTGAATAAATGGGATGTTATCGTGCATGTGGTTTTTCAATACTGGCATCTACATCACCTGGGTCCCTTGTGTAGAGCACGGGTTCCTGTGCTGTGCTCTCAGCCGACTGAGTCTGTACCTCTGGGGTGGAGCCTTAGAAATACGTACCAGCCAGCTAGGTTTGGAAACCTCTAATGGGCCAGTTTCTCCAAGTCTGCAGACAGTCTGCATTGGATCCATCTGGCAGTACTTGTTAAAGGTACTGATTACTGGTCTCTGCCCCCAAAACTGTGAGTCACAATGTCTGAGGATTGGGCTTAGAAAACCACATTTTTAGCAAGCTTCCCTGATAATTCTTGGCATAGTAAAATTTGAGAACCATTGCTATAGTCAAGGAGGAACTCATGAGAGCGTAACCCCTGGAGTATGTGTGTGGTTATTGTTACTGTGTACAGTGTTTAAGGTACCCTTGAAAAACTGTACTGATTAGAGCCACATGTGAGCTTGTCCCAGAAACTAGCCTGGACCAGTAAGCAAGGAAGCCTAAGGTCACCAAAAATAAGGGACAGCCTGGATACCCAGCTGGTGAGCGTGGGTGCCATGGCCAAGTAGAGCAGAGACAGTGGGTTAGGGAGGACGGTTGGATTACCAGGGACATAGCAGTGGATACTTGCTGCCCAGCAAGCGTCCATTTTCCCTTCTTAATGGCCCCCTAATCTCTTTCCCATTG